AGCAACGCAGCAGAGCGTGCTAGCAACGCAGCAGAGCGTGCTAGCAACGCAGCAGAGCGTGCTAGCAACGCAGCAGAGCGTGCTAGCAACGCAGCAGAGCGTGCTAGCAACGCAGCTGAGCGTGCTAGCAACGCAGCAGAGCGTGCTAGCAACGCAGCAGAGCGTGCTAGCAACGCAGCAGAGCGTGCTAGCAACGCAGCTGAGCGTGCTAGCAACGCAGCAGAGCGTGCTAGCAACGCAGCAGAGCGTGCTAGCAACGCAGCAGAGCGTGCTAGCAACGCAGGTGAGCGTGCTAGCAACGCAGGTGAGCGTGCTAGCAACGCAGGTGAGCGTGCTAGCAACGCAGGTGAGCGTGCTAGCAACGCAGCAGAGCGTGCTAGCAACGCAGCAGAGCGTGCTAGCAACGCAGCAGAGCGTGCTAGCAACGCAGCAGAGCGTGCTAGCAACGCAGGTGAGCGTGCTAGCAACGCAGGTGAGCGTGCTAGCAACGCAGCAGAGCGTGCTAGCAACGCAGCAGAGCGTGCTAGCAACGCAGCAGAGCGTGCTAGCAACGCAGCAGAGCGTGCTAGCAACGCAGCAGAGCGTGCTAGCAACGCAGCAGAGCGTGCTAGCAACGCAGCTGAGCGTGCTAGCAACGCAGCAGAGCGTGCTAGCAACGCAGCAGAGCGTGCTAGCAACGCAGCTGAGCGTGCTAGCAACGCAGCAGAGCGTGCTAGCAACGCAGCAGAGCGTGCTAGCAACGCAGCAGAGCGTGCTAGCAACGCAGCAGAGCGTGCTAGCAACGCAGCAGAGCGTGCTAGCAACGCAGGTGAGCGTGCTAGCAACGCAGGTGAGCGTGCTAGCAACGCAGCAGAGCGTGCTAGCAACGCAGGTGAGCGTGCTAGCAACGCAGGTGAGCGTGCTAGCAACGCAGGTGAGCGTGCTAGCAACGCAGGTGAGCGTGCTAGCAACGCAGGTGAGCGTGCTAGCAACGCAGGTGAGCGTGCTAGCAACGCAGCAGAGCGTGCTAGCAACGCAGCAGAGCGTGCTAGCAACGCAGCAGAGCGTGCTAGCAACGCAGCAGAGCGTGCTAGCAACGCAGCAGAGCGTGCTAGCAACGCAGCAGAGCGTGCTAGCAACGCAGCAGAGCGTGCTAGCAACGCAGCAGAGCGTGCTAGCAACGCAGGTGAGCGTGCTAGCAACGCAGGTGAGCGTGCTAGCAACGCAGGTGAGCGTGCTAGCAACGCAGGTGAGCGTGCTAGCAACGCAGGTGAGCGTGCTAGCAACGCAGCAGAGCGTGCTAGCAACGCAGCAGAGCGTGCTAGCAACGCAGGTGAGCGTGCTAGCAACGCAGCAGAGCGTGCTAGCAACGCAGGTGAGCGTGCTAGCAACGCAGCAGAGCGTGCTAGCAACGCAGCAGAGCGTGCTAGCAACGCAGGTGAGCGTGCTAGCAACGCAGGTGAGCGTGCTAGCAACGCAGGTGAGCGTGCTAGCAACGCAGCAGAGCGTGCTAGCAACGCAGCAGAGCGTGCTAGCAACGCAGCAGAGCGTGCTAGCAACGCAGCAGAGCGTGCTAGCAACGCAGCAGAGCGTGCTAGCAACGCAGCAGAGCGTGCTAGCAACGCAGCTGAGCGTGCTAGCAACGCAGGTGAGCGTGCTAGCAACGCAGGTGAGCGTGCTAGCAACGCAGGTGAGCGTGCTAGCAACGCAGCTGAGCGTGCTAGCAACGCAGCTGAGCGTGCTAGCAACGCAGCTGAGCGTGCTAGCAACGCAGCTGAGCGTGCTAGCAACGCAGCAGAGCGTGCTAGCAACGCAGCAGAGCGTGCTAGCAACGCAGCTGAGCGTGCTAGCAACGCAGCAGAGCGTGCTAGCAACGCAGCAGAGCGTGCTAGCAACGCAGCAGAGCGTGCTAGCAACGCAGGTGAGCGTGCTAGCAACGCAGCAGAGCGTGCTAGCAACGCAGCAGAGCGTGCTAGCAACGCAGCTGAGCGTGCTAGCAACGCAGCTGAGCGTGCTAGCAACGCAGCAGAGCGTGCTAGCAACGCAGCAGAGCGTGCTAGCAACGCAGCAGAGCGTGCTAGCAACGCAGCAGAGCGTGCTAGCAACGCAGGTGAGCGTGCTAGCAACGCAGGTGAGCGTGCTAGCTGTCAGAACTTAGGCTTTGAAGTGATTCACTAGTAATGAGCTTGAAGCTCTTAAGTGCATCCAAGATGGGCAAGGAGTGGATGGGGAAGGGAATCGTGGGCAATCCCTAGGGATTGAGGGTAATCCCAAGTCAATCTCCAATTGCTGGGTTGGAGATTGCTTGGAGATTACATTTGGGTTTGGTTGGGATGTAGGTGTACACCCAACCAAACACAAAGTACAAACTTCTCTGCTCTAGGATATAGCAAATATATAGTACAATGTGTGAGATTGAGGGCTAACACTGACACTAGACACTTTGGCCGGCTGACAGTCACTTAAGTGCATGCACCCCTGCCACGTGTTTGCTTGGTAACCACTGCCACGCCACGCTCCCCTGGCCCCACGCCCAGCTCCGCCAATCCTAACCATCCTCCCAGCCCCAAGCCCTTCTCCCCCTCTCCCCCCGTTCAACATCTTCCTTCTCCTCCTCTACGGCCCCCCACCCCTTGTCAGGTGGCGCGCATAGCATGTGGGGGATGGCGCCGACCGCACTCCTTCCTCATCGACACGCACTGCATGGGGTCCTTCGCCTTCGCCTTCCTCAAGGTACTGCCGTGCCATGCCATGCCATGCCGTCCCGTTCCGTGCCATGCTATGCACATAGACTTGACGTGTAGCATTCCAGGTGTTGTGCCGCAAGGCAGGGCATCACAATGCGGCACAGCAACGCTGCCACCACATCGAGCCTCTCACCCCTTATTAAGAATCACTAAAAAAAATTTGGAGTGTGATTCCCGAACGTTCTGGCGAAAGCGGTCTGTGAACTTCCTGTCATCAACACACACAGCCAGTCAGGGAGGAGAGGAGGCGTGTTAGAAATGCTCAGGCGTATCAAGACGCCTGAATTGAAAAGAGCTTTTGAAATACGGCATGCGCAGTTACCTTCGGAGGAAGATGTAACGGTTACAGCACGACTTGTTGCTCCTCTTGAGCTGACCGCTCCTCCCCAGCTCGCCCCACTGCTTCGTGCCGTTGACTAAGCCACTGCATCTTGCCCCTTGGCCTTCATTGCTCTGAATCCCTGCATGTCCTGATAGAATTCAAGAATGGTTGAGTAATGAGCCAAGGAGGCTCTATAGTACAAGCATGCAAGGAAGAGAGGTTGGAAGAAGGTGCAACCCTATTGGCCACTAAGTTGGCCAATGGGTGAGTTGCCTTGTGGAGTAGGGAACCCCACAATGTTGCTAGCTTGTGATTGGTTGGCCTTAGGACCAAATGTTGGCAAGTGCCAACCAAGGACCAAGACCAAACCAAATCTTGACCCAACCACAAAGTGTGGTTGGAGTGTACACCCAACCCCCCAATGGCTTAAAGAGCTACACCTATTCTAGCCTATGTATGTTGTATATATAAGATACATTTACAACATGCCCCATGCCCATGCCCCATCCGCCCATGCCCCCATCTCCATTCTCCCATACCCAATGCCCCACACCCACCAGGGCAACCATGTGCACATCCACCGCACCTCACTTGCCGCCACACACCCCTCCTCCCCCACATCCCCCCTCCTGCCCCCGTCCTCCCTGCATCCCACCTTCCACGGTCGTGAGCTGCACTCGCTCGCGCTCCTGCCTCTGCCCCATCGGCCCTCGCCCCGCACCCACACCCGCTCTTCCCACTCTCCCCGCTGCTCCTCGCTGCTGCTGTCTGCTGCTGAAGACGGCTGCATGCGCGCCTCCCTGTGAGTGCGGGGGGCCAAGGGGAACGCAACGTAGGGGAGCCACATGGGTGGGCCCAGTGGCGACACGGGTGCCTGTGGGGTGCAATGGCGTGGCAGCTCTCTTGGGATCTGCAACCTTCCTCTCTTCCATGTCACTCCCATCAACATGCCACCCGCCCCGCCCCTTTCGCTGCGCACGTCAAGCCGTCACCCCTTGCTGCACTGCCCTTTCCCTGCATCCACCTCGCTAGACTCTTCTCCCCACCCCGTCGGCCCCCCTGTGCTTGCCGCTGCAGGTACGACCCCTCAGGGGAGGGGAGTGGGGGGGTGCTGAATGGCAGTGAGCGGGTGGGGGAGCATGTGGGGGGCAGCGCCATCAGAGCCATTGCCACGTGCGCTGCAGAGGGCAGCAGCACCTGTGATGGCGGTGCTGGTGGAGGTGGGGAGTGCGCCCCCTCGTCATGGCTTGTGTTCACGGCTGGTGCCCGCGAGGTGCTCATGTGCTGGCTGCTGCTCTGCCCTGGCACCATTCCCCCGCCTGCTGCCCCGTGCCATGGCCCCGCCCGCTCTTGCACACACGGAGAGCAGTGCAGAAGGGAAGGGGAGGCGAAGGCAGAGGGAGAGCAGCAGATGGTCGGGACGGAGGAGGTGGGAAGCAGAGGGGAGGGATGGGAGGATGTGTTTTTGAAAGGAGCGCAAGGAGGGGGTGGAGCGCAAGGAGGGGGTGGAGCGCAAGGAGGGGGTGGGGCAGAGGCGAGTGGAAGGGATGGCGGAACGGACGGGCAGCAGGTTTTGTCGTTTTGGTTGAGCACTCACCGGCCAGATAAAAAGCGAGTGGTGCCGTGCGGTTCCAGTGGTAATGGAAGCAATGGCAGCAGCAGCAGCATGGAGGACGATGTGCGGTAGCTAAGTGTCACAGCGTTCTCCTTGGGCAGCTTCTCCCAGCGGTGGGTCCTCTCAAGCCCGTGCATGCACGCACAGGGTGCCTTCACACCATGCTGCTTTGCCTTGCATGCACGCACAGGGTGCCTTCACACCATGCTGCTTTGCCTCGCACTCTGTCAATCCAAACGCGCTCCCTCTGTCAATCTCCTCCTCACTCTCCCTCCCTTCTCCCCCCTCTTCCTTTGCTCCACCCCTTTCTTCCACCCACATAGCTCGCTGGTGGCAGTCGTGGCAGCGGCCACATCAGACGCGCACCTGCACCTGCTGGCCTTCCACGCGCCCTCCCTCTCCTGGCACCGCCTCGCCTCCCTGCACCACCACTCCTGCCCCGTCCTCTCCCTCCACCACCTCCTCCTCCCCTCGCACCCTGCCCCCTCTGCCACCTCCCCCTCGCCTGCTGCCCCCACCGCTGCTCCCTCGTTGCCTGCTCTCCCGCGCTGCCTGATCACCAGCGGTGCCACGGACGGCGCTGTGGTGCTCTGGGATGTCACCGCCCCTGTCGCCCACTTCCTGCACGCCACGTGGCGTGCTGCCTCACATGCCCCCCCATTCTCCCCCTCATCATTATCCTCAACAACAGCAGCGTCATCTGTAGCAGCAGGGGGCGGCATCTCAGGGGCAGTGAGGCCGGTGAGTGGGCGGGGCAGTGAGGGGGGGCAGCGCAGGAGGAATGCACGCTGGCACTTGCAGGGAGGGGGGAAGGGGCACAGGCAGGGCGGAGGGAAGGGGCAGGGGCACGGGGGAGAGAGGTCTGACGACAGCGAGGTTGGGGAACAAATAGGGCAGGAGGAGGAGCAGCTGATGGCGGTGGGAAAAGCGGGAGGGGAGGAGGCAGAGCGAGAAGGCGAGGGGCGGAGCAATGTTGATTCTCAACAGAAGGCTGTTGGGTCTGAACAGAAGGCTGTTGCGACAGTTGCGGGCCGGGGAGATCAGGGAGGGGCAAGTGATGGGGAGGCGAGAAGCGAGGGGGAGGAAGGTTCAGAAGGCACGGGAGGTGAGGAGCAGCAGCAAGGGCGAGCAGAGGCGCAGGAGTGGGCGGGTGTGGATGTGGGTCCGCTGTGCGTGGTGAGGGGCGCCCACCAGTCAGGCGTCAACTGCATTGCCGCTGCTGCCACCACCGTGGCGGGGAGGGACGACTGGCCGGGGCAACAACCGCGAGCGGATGGGGGGGATCGGGAAGATGGGGAGGATGGGGTGGATGGGGTGGAAGACGGCGGGGTGAGGGGCGTGGGGGCGGCGCAGGTGGTGGTGGTGAGTGGCGGGGACGACGAGGCGGTGCATGCTGTGGTGCTGCAGCTGGAAGGCATGGACGCCGAACAGAGCACGCACGCAGCACGTTCCGAGGGGCTGGGCGCAGAGGAGGGGGAAGAGGGGCGAAGTGAGGGGGAAGGGAGGGGAATGGTGGCTCGAGTGGTGGCACGGACCTGTGAACCCAATGCTCACTCCGCTGCTGTCAAAGGTACCACCACTCATGCCCATCACGTTGTTGCTGTCAGTGAGGCATGTGGCATCCTCTTTGCCAACCAGCAGTTTCGTCATCAGCAACCGTTTCAACCTCTTGTCCTCATCCCTTACCCCTGCTCCACACCATGCCGCCCCATACCACCCCACCCCATGACCTACACCTCACGGCAGGCATCTGGACGGATGGGCAGGCGGTGCTGTCAGTGGGGCTGGACCAGCGCCTGCGCTGCTGGTCCCTCTCCCCCAATCACCACGCGCCACGTGGCAAGGCACGCGGTGCCGAGGCAGCTGCAGGAGGGAGATGCAGCGAGGAGGGGCAGAGGGGCGAGAGGGGGTGTGCAGGAGAGGAGGGAGGGGAGGGCGAGGAGGGGAGCAGGTTGGATATGGGGGAGGTGGCGTGTGGGGCGGGGAAGCCAGGGGCGTCTGTAAATGAGATCAGGGAAGGGGGGTTGGGGTTGCGGTTGGAGGGCAGGGGGCGGTGTGTGGTGGATGTGCCCGAGGCAGAGGGGCTGGCCGTGATGGGTCAAGGCACGGGCAGGTGAGTGGCTCATTGCGGAGGGGATGCAGTCAGCATGTGAGCCTGTGTTGTTGCACACATGCACGTCTAAGTATTGTTAGTTACTTCAATGCATCGTGCGCTTGTGTTTGAATCCAATGCGTGCTTCAGGTACCTGGCAGCTGTGTGTGGGCGAGGCATGCAACTCATTCACTGCACGGAGTCGTCGCCTTGACTTAAAAGTGCAAGTGCACGCTCTGTTGCTCAACCAAGCCAACTGCACCACTGTAGCATGCCTTTAGGACGATCTTCTATGATAAGAATGTTAATCAGTTCCTGCTGAACTTGCATGATTGCATCCAGCGAAATTTTTACCAGCATAACACTATGGCAGCATACATAAATCACCACGGAATTTTGTATGTACATTGGACGCCACATGTTGTGAACCTAGCCATCTTGTATGGACGCCTCCCCTCCACGGCCCACGGCCCGCCGCACAGCCTCTCTAATCTGCTGCGCCAGGCGGCGGTGCCCCTCCTCCCGCAGCGCTGCGCGGTACTTCTTATCCACGAAGATGCGCTTGCCGTCCATCCCGGGGCAAGGGAAGTACCAGAGCCGCACCGTGTACCCACACGTGTGCGCCACCGCGGGGTCTGCTTCTTTGATGCGGTGGTCGCGCCCCACCTCCCTGTGGCACCCGCACTGCCCCGTGTCTGCTTGCAACGCCTCCTGTAGCTGCCGCCGCCGCTGTTGCACTGCCCTGCCCTCCACATCTCCCGTTTGCTGCTGCAGCACCCCCTTGCCCTGCGCGGGCAGCTCAGCACCCTCTCCTGCTGCACCCTCCCCTACCACGCAGTCCTGTGTGCTTGAGTTACTGAAGCCGCTGCCTGCACGGCACTCCACATTCAACAAGCGCCGCCCTCGCTCCTGCTCTTGCTGCCGCCCTTCTGTCTCCTCCTTGCGCTCCTCCCTCCGCCGCTTCACCTCCGCCTGCTTCTGGCGCCGCTGCTGCTCCACCTGCTGGCGGCGCTGCAGCGCATGCTCCTCCTCAAACCGCCCCGTGCCGCACACGCGGTCGATGAGCTCCAGCTTGTTGTCCCGCCCGTACGCCATGCCTGCCATGCACGCGCGCGTACGGCATGGGCGCAGGGGCAGGGCACAGGGCCCCGTGCATGGGGCACGGGGCATGGGGCACGGGGCATGGGGCACGGGGCATGGGGCACGGGGCATGGGGCACGGTGCATGGGGCACGGTGCATGGGGAATGGGGCACGGGGCATGGGGCACGGTGCATGGGGCATGGGGCACGGTGCATGGGGAATGGGGCACGGGGCACGAGCGGTGGGTGCTGACCCTCGGTGTAGCGGTGAGGCGAGTCGTTGCGGAAGGCGACTTGGCTCTCCCACATCTGCGGGGCGAAGCGCTGCAGCACGTGGAAGCGCGTGCGCGCCGCCAGCCAGCGCGGCGACTGCTCCTCGTGCACGCGGTACATGGGCACCTGGGGGGGCAGGGGACAGGGGACAGGGGACAGGGGCGCAGGGGACAGGGGACAGGGGACAGGGGGGCAGGGGCGCAGGGGGCAGGGAACAGGGGAACAGGGGGCAGGGGCGCAGGTGAGCGGGGAGCAGCACAAGGACGGAATGTGAGTGAGGTGCCGCATCGGGCACCCGTCAGCACATGTTACACAACAAACACGGGCGCACGGTGGTCAGGGGGACACGGGAGCGGCGGCGGAGCGAACCCTGGTTGATAAAAAGGAAAGGTGCAGCACATGTTACACAACAAATTGCCATGCGCACACCGTCTCGCAGCACACCCCAGCACTCTGAGGCGCACCTTGAAGAGCTTCAGCCCGGCCCTCTCATGCCTGAGAGCAGCTTGGCGAATGAGGTCCCAGGCGTGCGTGGTGATGAACTGGTTGCCGTCAAACGCCAGCACCCACCGCGCCCCTGCTGCCTTGCCATGGTCCAATATGAAGTTGCGCGCCTCGTTCTGCGCTGCTCTGCCGCCATGCCACGCCATGCCATGCCATGCCATGCCATGCACATATGACAGCAGGGAAAGACAGGCACGGACATGATCACGTGACAGGCACGGACATGATCACGTGACAGGCTGCGATGCAAGGCTAGGGCGGGATGCAATGATGAGGGGTTAACACCTGTGACAGCCTCGGTCAACGCCTCACCTGTGACAGCCTCGGTCAACGCCGCACCTGTGACAGCCTCGGTCAACGCCTCACCTGTGACAGCCTCGGTCAACGCCTCACCTGTGACAGCCTCGGTCAACGCCTCACCTGTGACAGCCTCGGTCAACGCCTCACCTGTGACAGCCTCGGTCAACGCCTCACCTGTGACAGCCTCGGTCAACGCCTCACCTGTGACAGCCTCGGTCAACGCCTCACCTGTGACAGCCTCGGTCAACGCCTCACCTGTGACAGCCTCGGTCAACGCCTCACCTCAGTCAACGCCTCACCTGTGACAGCCTCGGTCCAGGAGGTCTCAGGAAGGGTGGCGATGTGCGAGAAGTTGATCCGACGGACAAGAATGTCCTACACGGCGAGAGGAGGGGGAGAGGGGAGTGGGGGAGATGAGTGAGGAGAGTGGGGGGAAAGAGAGGAAAGGGGGGGGAGAGAGGAAGGGGGAACGAGGAACGGGCAAAGAGGAAGGGCGAAAGAGGAGGGAGGAAAGAGGAGAGAGGAAAGAGGAAGGGAGAATCGAGGAAGAAGCACAGGGGGAATGAAAGAGGCAGGAAGGGGCATGGAAGGTAGGAGCAAGAGCGGGTGGCATCCCCATCTCCCGCATCACACTGTTTTCCCCTGCGCCCCCCTGTGCGCCCCCCTGTGCGCCCCCTGTGCGCCCCCCATGCGCGCCTCTGCGCGCCCCCCATGCGCGCACCTGTGGCGCCACGCCGTGCGCGAGCAGCGCGTCCAGCAGCAGCGCGCGCTCCGTGCCGTTCACCACGTGGTTCAGTACCCACAGCCGCCGGCACTCGCGCAGCGCGCGCGCCTCGTGCTGTAGCGCGTACAGCGTGTTGCGGAGCAGCTGCCCCGCGCACTGCAGCGGCGCCATGTTGTTGCCGATCAGCCGGTAAAGGAAGAACCGCGCCGTCTCTTGCGCGGGCGCTTGCGCCTCTGCTGTTGCCTCCGCTGCTCCCCGGGCGACCTCGCTATCGCCATCCCCATCCCTTTCAACTCCACCCGACCGATCTGCTTCGTAGAAATGAACTCCTTCCACTCCCGCCTCCGTGTCTACCCATTGAGTCTCGTGCGCCCCGTGCGCCAGCCGCAGCCCCCGCGCCCCTTGCGCGCCGTGTGCGCCATCTGCCGAGCCGTTGCGACCGCCAGCTGCGGACCGGGGCGGCGGGAAGAGAGGCGAGAGGAGCGGGGCGCAGAGGGCGGAGGGGGAGGCGGAGAGAGCCCAGAGCGCGAGCAGCGCGAAGGCGACGGTGTAGGCGAGGAGCAGCACGAGGGGGGCACGCGGAGAGGTTGCGGAAGGCGCGGGTGCTTGGCATACATGGGCTCTTCGATGGTTCATGGCCGTTGGAAGGAGGCTTGGGCGAAGCAGTGTGCGAGAGGTGAGGAGGCCAGCTGAAAGGTGAAGGTACCGAGGTGCGCTTGTAATGGCCCCCTTCGGTCCATATGCACCTGCTACAATGATCTGAGGACGCGTCTCCTGAAGCGGATCGGCCGAATCGGCCGATCCGCACCGATCGTAATTTCAAGCCCAGGCTCGCCGGAGATCGGTGTCCAGGTCTGTCCACCTACGACGCACAGATATACAGGTGACAGGTTCGGTAAGGCAGGATTTGGGTTTGTGGTACACTCACCCCGCGACAAAGGCTCTGTTGTCGCGCTCAAATTCGCACAGAAAATTTCAGTGTATGCGACGCTGTGAAGTAACAGTGCAACGACTAGCGAAGACGATCGATATTGACTGTCAATCGTGCCGCGAAATTGCACACCGCGCCACCCAATCTCACGACTGATATGTGCGCTTCACTATATCGATCGAGGCTCACATAGGTGACAGGTTCGTGGGCACAATAGTACTGTACATTCGGGAACATTGGCGACTATTGGTTACCTTGTTGATTACGACGCTACAGTAATACACTCCTGCGCAAAACCGATCTTCCAGCCGATCGATCCGCTTCAGGAGACGCGTCCTAACTCCAACGCGATCAATTGTGAGCTAGCGCGTCCTGAGTGTTGTGAGTTCTGCTAAAAAGGGTGTGAAGAATGCAATAACGAAAGTGATTACTACAGTACTCCCTAAAAAGTGAAGCCAACCAAAAAATATAGCAAAGGTTAGCTAGGCTGGGTTCTTGGAACCACGAATGGTTGGGTGCAGGTTCGGGGTTGGAAAACCCGAAGGCGACACGAGGGAGGTTCAGAGGGCGAGGCTATTAGACCCACTAATTCAGCCACGGTTTCACCTGCACACAAAAGCGGAATGCATACATCCAAAACCATACCATTCATAGGCGTTTCGGGTTATTTTTCCCCCAAAACACTGACAAAGCCACACGAGTGTAGTAAATTGCAAAGCGGCCAGAGATTTTTGCACATGCTCGTGCTCTCCATACCCTTCCACACTTTCATTCAATATATTATGCAAGATATTAGTGTTCCAACTCTGCCTGGTACACTCATACAATGCGTAACTTTGATCGGCCATACGAAGCGTTTGCAAATCGTATTCGGTTAGACTATTTTCTACCTTCTTGCCTTTGTGAGTCTATTTCGTTCCATATTTTGCAAGATATGAGTGTTTCAAATCTGCCTTGTACGCTCCCTACACTGATCACACCGACCACACTGATCAGTGCATCACTTTGATCGGCCATACGACCTGAATGGTGTTGCAAGAACACGCGCCTAGCGTGTGCAAATTTGCAAGAACAAGGGCCTAGCGTGTGCAAAATAGCAAGAACAAGGGCCTAGCGTGTGCAAAATAGCAAGAACAAGGGCCTAGCGTGTGCAAAATAGCAAAAAACAACAGCCTAGCGTGTGCAAAATAGCAAGAACAAGGGCCTAGCGTGTGCAAAATAGCAAGAACAAGGGCCTAGCGTGCGCAAAATTGCAAGAACAAGGGCCTAGCGTGTGCAAAATAGCAAAAAACAAGCGCATAGCTTGTGCAAATTTGCAAGAAAAAGGGCCTAGCGTGTGCAAACTAGCAAGAACAAGGGCCTAGCGTGTGCAAAATAGCAAGAACAAGGGCCTAGCGTGTGCAAAACTGCAAGAACAAGGGCCTAGCGTGTGCAAAATTGCAAGAACAAGGGCCTAGCGTGTGCAAAATTTCAAGAACAAGGGCCTAGCGTGTGCTTTATTGCAAGAACGAGGGCCTAGCGTCTGCAAAATTGAAAGAACAAGGGCCTAGCGTGTGCAAAATAGCAAGAACAAGGGCCTAGCGTGTGCAAAATAGCAAAAAACAACGGCCTAGCGTGTGCAAAATAGCAAGAACAAGGGCCTAGCGTGTGCAAAATAGCAAGAACAAGGGCCTAGCGTGTGCAAAATAACAAAAATCAACGGCCTAGCGTGTGCAAAATAGCAAGAACAAGGGCCTAGCGTGTATAAAATTGCAGGAACAAGGGCCTAGCGTCTGCAAAAATGCAAGAACAAGGGCCTAGCGTCTGCAAAATTGCAAGAATAAGGGCCTAGCGTGTGCAAAATTGCAAGAACAAGGGCCTAGCGTGTGTAGAATAGCAAGAACAAGGGCCTAGCGTGTGCAAAATAGCAAGAACAAGGGCCTAGCGTGTGCAAAATAGCAAAAAAACAACGGCCTAAGGTGTGCAAAATAGCAAGAACAAGGGCCTAGCGTGTGCAAAATAGCAAGAACAAGGGCCTAGCATGTGCAAAATTTCAAGAACAAGGGCCTAGCGTGTGCAAAATTGCAAGAACAAGGGCCTAGCGTATGCAAAATTGCAAGAACAAGGGCCTAGAGTGTGCAAAATTGCAAGAACAAGGGCCTAGCGTGTGCAAAATTGCAAGAACAAGGGCATAGCGTGTGCAAAATTGCAAGAACAAGGGCCTAGCGTGTGCAAAATAGCAAGAACAAGGGCCTAGCGTGTGCAAAATAGCAAGAACAAGGGCCTAGCGTGTGCAAAATAGCAAGAACAAGGGCCTAGCATGTGCAAAATTGCAAGAACAAAGATCTAGCGTGTGCAAAATTGCAAGAACAAGGGCCTAGCGTGTGCAAAATTGCAAGATCAAGGCGTAGCGTGTGCAAAATTGCAAGAACAAGGGCCTAGCGTGTGCAAAATTGCAAGAACAAGGGTCTAGCGTGTGCAAAATTGCAAGAACAAGGGCCTAGCGTGTGCAAAATAGCAAGAACAAGGGCCTAGCGTGTGCAAAATTTCAAGAACAAGGGCCTAGCATGTGCAAAAATTCAAGAACAAGGGCCTAGCGTGTGCAAAATTGCAAGAACAAGGGCCTAGCGTGTGCAAAATAGCAAGAACAAGGGCCTAGCGTGTGCAAATTTGCAAGAACAAGGGCCTAGCGTGTGCAAAACTGCAAGAACAAGGGCCTAGCGTGTGCAAAATTGCAAGAACAAGGGCCTAGCATGTGCAAAAATTCAAGAACAAGGGCCTAGCGTGTGCAAAATTGCAAGAACAAGGGCCTAGCGTGTGCAAAATAGCAAAAACAAGCGCCTAGCATGTGCAAATTTGCAAGAACAAGGGCCTAGCGTGTGCAAAATTTCAAGAATAAGGGACTAAACCCTAAAACCCTAAAATTCAAGAACAAGGGCCTAGCGTCTGCAAAAATTCAAGAACAAGGGCCTAGCGTCTGCAAAAATTCAAGAACAAGGGCCTAGCGTCTGCAAAAATTCAAGAATAAGGGCCTAGCGTCTGCAAAAATTCAAGAACAAGGGCCTAGCGTCTGCAAAAATTCAAGAACAAGGGCCTAGCGTCTGCAAAAATTCAAGAACAAGGGCCTAGCGTCTGCAAAAATTCAAGAACAAGGGCCTAGCGTCTGCAAAAATTCAAGAACAAGGGCCTAGCGTGTGCAAAAATTCAAGAACAAGGGCCTAGCGAGTGCAAAATTGCAAGAACAAGACCCAGCGTGTGCAAAATTGAAAGAACAAGGGCCTAGCGTCTGCAAAATTTCAAGAACAAGGGCATAGCGTGTGCAAAATTGCAAGAACAAGGGCCCAGCGTCTGCAAAATTGCAAGAACAAATGAAAAGTGAGTGCAAAATTGCAAGAACAAGGGCCTAGCGTCTGCAAAATTGCAAGAACAAGGGCCTAGCATCTGCAAAATTGCAAGAACAAGGACCTAGCGTGTGCAAAATTGCAAGAACAAGGGTCTAGCGTGTGCAAAATTGCAAGAACAAGGGCCTAGCGTCTGCAAAATTTCAAGAACAAGAGCCTAGAGTGTGTAAAATTGCAAGAACAAGGGCCCAGCGTCTGCAAAATTGCAAGAACAAGGGCCTAGCATCTGCAAAACTTCAAGAACAAGGGCCTAGCGTGTGCAAAATAGCAAGAACAAGGGCCTAGCGTGTGCAAAAATTCAAGAACAAGGGCCTAGCGTGTGCAAAAATTCAAGAACAAGGGCCTAGCGAGTGCAAAATTGCAAGAACAAGACCCAGCGTGTGCAAAATTGCAAGAACAAGGGCCTAGCGTCTGCAAAATTTCAAGAACAAGGGCATAGCGTGTGCAAAATTGCAAGAACAAGGGCCCAGCGTCTGCAAAATTGCAAGAACAAATGAAAAGCGAGTGCAAAATTACAAGAACAAGGGCCTAGCGTCTGCAAAATTGCAAGAACAAGGGCCTAGCATCTGCAAAATTGCAAGAACAAGGGCCTAGCGAGTGCAAAATTGCAAGAACAAGGGCATAGCGTGTGCAAAATTGCAAGAACAAGGGCCTAGCGTCTGCAAAATTTCAAGAACAAGAGCCTAGAGTGTGTAAAATTGCAAGAACAAGGGCCCAGCGTCTGCAAAATTGCAAGAACAAGGGCCTAGCATCTGCAAAACTTCAAGAACAAGGGCCTAGCGTGTGCAAAATAGCAAGAACAAGGGCCTAGCGTCTGCAAAATTGCAAGAACAAGGGCCTAGCGAGTGCAAAATTGCAAGAACAAGAGCCTAGCGTCTGCAAAATTGCAAGAACAAGGGCCTAGCATCTGCAAAATTGCAAGAACAAGGGCCTAGCGAGTGCAAAATTGCAAGAACAAGGGCCCAGCGTCTGCAAAATAGCAAGAACAAGGGCCTAGCGTCTGCAAAATTTCAAGAACAAGGGCCTAGCGTGTGCAAAACTGCAAGAACAAGGGCCTAGCGTGTGCAAAATTGCAAGAACAAGGGCCTAGCGTGTGCAAAATTGCAAGAACAAGGGCCTAGTGTGTGCAAAATTGCAAGAACAAGGGCCTAGCGTGTGCAAAACTGCAAGGGCCTAGCGTGTGCAAAATTGCAAGAACAAGGGCCTAGCGTGTGTAGAATAGCAAGAACAAGGGCCTAGCGTGTGCAAAATAGCAAGAACAAGGGCCTAGCGTGTGCAAAATAGAAAAAAAACAACGGCCTAAGGTGTGCAAAATAGCAAGAACAAGGGCCTAGCATGTGCAAAATAGCAAGAACAAGGGCCTAGCATGTGCAAAATTGCAAGAACAAGGGCCTAGCGTATGCAAAATTGCAAGAACAAGGGCCTAGCA